TCTATTTTAAAATTTTTTTGGCTGTACCTTGCGGCTTGCGGGATCTTAGTTCCCCAACCAGGGACTGAACCTGGGCCCTTGGCAGTGAAAGTGCAGAGTCCTAACCACTGGACCACCAGGGAACTCCCTTCTTTTCCATCTCTTTTCCTGCATTTCCCTAAACCCTTAGCAGTGCTGCAGACAAACTCTAGGTGTGAGGCCCAGGAGTCTAGCGAGCCTCTGATAGTCCGGTTTAGAGCAAGGGGTCAGCATGCCCTCCCTGGAAATGGTCAGAGAGTAAATACCTCTGGGCTGGCAGGTGGCTGATCTCTGGCCAACTGCTCAGCTCTGCTATTTATTTCAGCCTAGCAGGAGGCGCACTTTGAAACTCTGATCTCCTGTTACCTCGTCACTAAAGCAACGGTGTGACTTTTGTTTTTGTTTTTTTTACATCTATGACTTGTGCAATTTAAACTTCGACCTTCACTGTTAGCAACTGATCTGAACCCCTTCGCCTGATTTAGAGGATCCTCAAGATTGCCTGGTTCTTCTGGAAACTGGAGATTAGAGGTGAATGGGGGCCCGTGGGTCCCCTCGCTGCACCCGGCTTCTAGCTGACCCAGGTGACACCACGGGGACACAGACCAAATGGAGACACAGAGAGCAGCACTGCTGGGCAGGCCAGGCTCCCTGATTCTCGTCCACACAAGAGCCCATGTAACAGTGCCAGCAAACCGCATACCCCAAGCATAGCTCCTTTTTGTTCAGAGGTGAAAAAAACCTCTGATGCAGGTTCCTAACATTTATGGTGCTTAGGAGACAATCCCAGAGAGTAGGCCCTGATTAGGGTTTTAAAAATTCTAGCAAACAGCCCCTAGGTTAGAAGGGAAAGTCACCTGACCCAGGGCAGACTGATTGTACTGAAGGATATGTGAGGTGCCACATAGACAATAAAACAGTCCCTCTCTAGTTATCAATCCCCAGACAAGTATTCCCCCCACATGCCTTCTCCATCACCTACACCTTCTAAAAAACTCCTAGACAGCAGAGGCCCAAGGTTACTACAAAGACCCCAATATACCCAGCTTTTCTTGGTTTTCTCTCAGTATTTTCCCTCTATAATGAAGTTGTGGATTTTTTTTTTTTCCCCTCACTCTTGATGAAGTTAATTTGTAGATCAGGACCCACAAAGTGGAGGCCACCCCATGGCCCGGCTGATGTCACAAATCTCAGCGTACGTCAGCCTGTGCACAGGACAGGCCTCGTGGTCAAGGAAACAATACACATCAGTCACGATGCTCTGACTCATCTTTGGCGTGGTCTCTGACCCTAGAAAAATAGGGCCTGCTGCCTTGTAAGGGAATCCCCGATGGCCTAGTCAGTCATGCCCTGTTTCCATGTTGTTGCTTCTGAGATTCTATAAAACTCGCTCTCAGCCAAAATCCCTCAGAAGAGGGCTAGGCTGCTTGGGAGGCACTGTGCCCCCCAATCCATGGACTGAATAAGGGGCATCAGCGTCATTACTAAATTGTATTCGTTTTGTCGTTAGACACTCTCCATATTCAATTGCCAAGCCCTGTGCATTTCACTTCTTAAATATGCCACTTCCAAACGGCATCTCCTCTGCCACCATCCTGATCTACCCTTCAGGCTGCAGCCCAAACCACCTTCAATGACATATAAACCTGATAGCATTTCGTGGTTGCATCCTGTTCCTGACACAAAACTGCAGGTCCTGTGTGACGTGCATCCTACCTGCCTCTCAGCCACGTCTGCAGACTCCCCCGAGAGCGGGGTTTGTCAGCCTCGGTACCACTGACATTTTGAGCTCGTTCAGTCTTTGTCGTAGGGCTGTTCTGTGCATTGCAGGGTGTGTAGCTGCATACCTGGCCTCTACCCACTGGATGCCAGGAGCCCCTCACCACCAGTCGTGACAACAAAAATGTCTCCATGTACTACTCCAAGTCCCCGGGGGGCAAAATCACTCCTTCCTCCTCTGCACATTCTCTTGGCCTCTGCTCCCATGGAGAATCACTGACCTAGAACATTCTATACTGCTAAGTTTGCACAACTCAGTTTGGGAAGGGATCCGCTCTTGTCCACATCCTACCTGCTGCCCCTCTGCCTGAGACACCCCACCCCAACACTAACCCTTCCCTGCCTCGCCAACTCAGGTTCATATTCTTACGAATAGCCCACGTTTATTAAGTGCATACTAAGCACCAAGCCTGGTTCAAAACACTGAAAATGTATTACCTTATATTTGATCCTGATAACAAGCCTCTGTGGCAGGTCTGAGCTGCAATTATGTAACCTGGCTTAGATATTAGGGATTTTAAGCAGGGAAGGCGCCTTGTGAAGGCAGGAGGTCTGCTCCAGAGCCTGTGTCTTTCTACCAGTTTGCGATGCCTGAACCATCCCACGTCTAGCCTGGGGTGGTTCCCCAGAGCATCCTACACGTCCAGTCCTGTACGGATGTGCCCATCACAAGTCAGCACCGCTATTTATGTATCGGGTGTTCATTCACAACTACAAGCTTGAGTGTGCAAGAACAGACTCATTTCTTCTTTTTTTAAGTCCCTCCTTAATTAACTCAGACACCCTCCCCTGCTAGACTGATGAGGACCCCGACCTTACTCGTTTGAGGGGGGGCTCCCTCCGCTGCTGCCCAGGGTCCCTTGAGGGTCGCAGGGGTCTTCCCCAGAGAACGTGTGAGGAGCTCCTCTGGTTCTCACTGCTTCCTGGTAATTGGCTCCCAGGGAAGTCTGTCACCATGGAAACCTCCCTGCCCTCCCCTTCAGGAGACCGAGCATCCTCTCCTCAAGGAACCTAGGCTTTCACAAGACAGAAGATGTCTTCCAGCAACTTCCGCTTTTCCCTTTTTCTTCCCCCCCACCCCCAGCCATCCTTCCTGAGTGAAGGGGAGACCAAAGCCTGGCTCTGAAGACAGAGCAAAGCACAAAGAACAATCTTTATTCTGCGTCATGCACAGCCAGGAAAACAAAGAACAAAGTAACTAAAGGGCCCTGCACCCTGCTGAATGTCCGTGGAAGTGCCCGCCTGGCTCCCCTGAGGGCCCGTTGGTGGCTGCAAGCGTTTGGAAGATTGGGGCTCCAGTGTACAGCTCAAGTGAGGAGTGCAGTGTTAAATAATGGATGTTCTCGCTAGTTTCCACAGCATAAACTATGGGTGCAGGCTCTGCTGGACTGGCCCCTCTCTCTCTGACCTCCTTTCCTTGCCGTAGGCCAGAGAGCATGGATTCTTTCTGTTTCTCAAGCCTGTCAAGCTTGCTCTGACCCCAGGACCTGTGTCCATGCTATTACTCTGTCCCAGGTCCATCCATCCTTCCAGATCCTTGAGTGGCTGCCTCCTTCTGTCACTGGGGTCTTGGCCTGAATGTCACCTCCTCAGAGAGTCCTCCTCTGAAGCCACAGCCCCAGTCACCTCCTTCATTTCTGGTTAATCCTGCAGTCTCTCTCTCCCCCACTGGAATGTGCTCCATGAGGGTAGAGACCACCATGTGCCTCCTGGCTGTTTATGTCCAAATGGGTGACAGCTGGTACTTCCCTGGCGGTCCAGTGGTTAAGACTCTGCACTTCCATGGCAGGGGGCAGGGGTTCGATCCCTAGTGGGGGAATTAAGATCCCGCATGCCACACAGCACGGCCAAAAAAATAAATAAATAAACAGTGGTGAGCATAGCTGCCTTCCAAATGAGTGATAGCAGTGCCACTGACTTAAGATAAACCTGTGCAGTGAAAATCCTCATGAGAAAAACCTAACGGTAAACTTCCGAAGGCTGATGTACCCTGTCGCTGCTGCTCTTTAGGAGAAGAGGACGTGAAAGGGGAGGTGTGGCCGCAATCACTCATTTGGATGATGAGGAAGAAGGCCCACAGAGGGGAAGTCAATTGAGAAATTTCATGAAGCAAGTCAGTTTGCTTAAAAAAAAGAAAAAAAAAGCTGCTATGAAACTTCAGGCACTAATCAGCTCCCTCCCTGCCCTGGGGACTTACCTTCCAGCAGGGAGAAGACAAAAAGTGGAGGAATAAACCTAGAAAACAAGATAACTGCAGGGAAAGACAAATGTTAAGAAGATAACCAAGCAAGGAGGTGGGGAACGTGGAAATGGCTGAGGGGAAGAGGAAAGGCTACTTTGTGGGGTTTTTTGTTTTGTTTTTTCGCCACACTTCACAGGCACGCGGGATCTTAGTTCCCCGACCAGGGATTGAACCCGTGCCCCTGCAGTTGAAGCTTAGAGTCTTAACCACTGGACCGCCAGGGCAGTCCAAGGAAAGGCTACTTTGGATGGCAGGTCCAGTAACACTGGTTTGCACTTTTGCTGCGCCTTCTGCCTGGAAATCCTGGTCCACCCCTACTCCCACCCCCACCCCGCCAGGCCTCCCCAGCTTCAAGGGACCCTCGTCGCACCCGGGATGCTGCGCAAACGTCACTCTAAGAAGGAGGCCTCCCCGGAGCATCCCGCCTAAAACAGCGCACGCGCACAAGCGGCCCTCGCGGGTGTGTGTACACGGATCTATAGGTATCACTGTATATTTATAGCCATGTGTTTGTATTCTTTCTCTCCCGTCCCCGCAGACGTGCCGTGTCCCTAAGCCCCGACTTCGCGTTCCGTCGCCGCCTCCCCAAACCTAGGGCGCTCACGATCGATCAATACGGAGCGTCCGTGAAGACGGCCGCGCCAAGATGCGTCCGCAGAACGCCGAGCAGCCTCCGCCGCGCCGAGGCCTGCCTCGCGGGGCCGCCCAGGCGCCGGGCACCTGGGTACCTTTCCACGGCGTCAGCGGCCAAGCGGCCTCGGGGGAGCGTTAGGACCGCAGCGCCGGGCGGGTCCCGGGCACCCGTGCCGGAGCCAGACACGCACCCCTCGCCGCCCCCGCGCTACCCCGGGCCCCGCACCCTCCGGCCGGTCCGTTTGGGCGCGCGGTTCGGGGAGGCCGGGCCGCCCCCCGCGCCCCCGGCCGGTGCCCCCGCCGGGACCCGGGCCGCCGCCGCACCTACCGGACGCGCTGGGCCGTGATGGCGTTGCCCGTGTGCCGCCGGAGCACCGCCAGGAACAGGAGCCGCATGGCGCCGCCGCCGCCCGGCCGTCCACCGCCCGCCAAGGCCCGGCCCGGGGCGGGAACGCGGGCCGGGGCGGCCGGGGTCCGTCAGCCCGCCCGCCGCTCCCCAGGCCGCGCCCGCGCTCGCCGGCTCCGGGGCCGGGGCTCAGGGGCGCGCGGGGCGGCGGGGGGGGGGGGGCGTGTCCGGGGGGTGGGGGAGTGGGCGCGGGGCCCCTCCCACGGGACCATTGGCAGGGGATCCCTGTGTCCCCTCCAAGGGAACCAGAAGGGACTCCCATAGGGGTCCCGGAGCGGCCGCAGGTCTGCTTCCATGGGGACTGTCACCAGAGGTGATTTCGGGTCCCTTCGCACAGAGACAAGGGGTGGGTGGCCACAGTCCTCTGCCACAGGGACCAGGGTTGGCCACAGGCTCCCCACACAGACACGCACACACTCACTCACTCACACACACACACACACTCAGAGGGACCAGGGTGGCTGCGCGCTGCTGCCATGGGGACCAGGGGTCCGCGGGCCCCTTTCCACGGTGGTCGGCACCAGGGGTGACGGCCGATTCCCTGCCACAGGGGCCAGAGGAGGCCATGGGTGGACTCCCAAGGGGACCAGGGTGAGCAGTGTCCACTCCCATGGGGCCACCACCAGGGATTTCTGGTATCTCTTGAAAATGAGAGATGGGGCAATAGCAGCCATCTTTCCCACAGCAAACAGCTAAGAAGCAGGTGCCCCTTCAGAAGTGTTGAGAGAAACTGAGGGCTATTTAAAGTTTTAGTTAGAGCAAAAGTTTACTCCAACTGGGTAGCACAGAACCGGAAGTGGCCAGGAGGGCCCCCAAACAGGAGCTGCGGTGAGGCTTTTATACCTGAAGGCATAAGCAAAGCAAGGCAATCATTGATTGGCTACTGCTGAAAGTCTAGCTGGCTCTTTGTGATTGGTTGTCTTTAGGTTTCGATTCTGTAACCTTGAGGCATTTACAGCTTGGGTTTTGGTTTAAGGAGGAACCTGGGCATTTAAGCCCCCTCAGTCAGGTGGCCTCCTTGCTTAACAGATGGGACCTGAGCTCCCCAGTTTACCACAGTGGTTGTAAGTACATTGCAATTCCTTTGTGAGCTCAATCTGTATTCCTGTTGTTAGAAGAAGTTGAAGTTTGTATCTTGGCTCCATAGTCACCAGGGACAGAGACCTCTCTCTTTCTTCTCCAGCATGGTCTTGTTTGGCCTTTATTATTTATTTTTTAAAATTATTTATTTATTTATGGCTGCGTTGGGTCTTCGTTTCTGCGCCTGGGCTTTCTTTAGTTGCCGCAAGCGGGGGCTACCCTTCGTTGTGGTGCGCAGGCTTCTCATTGCGGCGGCTTCTCTTGTTGCAGAGCAGGGGCTCTAGAGCACGTGGGCTTCAGCAGTTGTGGCACGTGGGCTCAGTAGTTTCAGCTCGCAGGCTCAGTAGTTGTGGCGCTCGGGCTTAGTTGCTCTGTGGCATGTGGGATCTTCCCAGACCAGGGCTCGAACCCATGTCCCCTGCATTGGCAGGCGGATTCTTAACCACTGTGTCACCAGGGAAGTCCCTGGCCTTTATTCTTAAGATGGCCTCTAGGTGCAATGTGACTGCCAGAGCTCCACCCATCACATTCACATTACAGGCCAGCAAGAAGGAAGGGCAAAATGGTGCATTTCATTTTAAGGGCCCCTCCTGGAATTACACACTGCCTCTGTGACTTTATCTTACTGTGCACATGACCACATCTTCCACCCAAGGCAGCTGGGAAATACAGTCTGTTAGCTGGGTACCTTGCCACCCTGAATAAAATGGTGGACTAGGATGTGGACATTATCTTTTTCAGGGCTACCATTCAATCCACTTCAGAGGCCCCTTTCACAGATGGCTGCATGTACGAAGGCCCCCAGTGACTCATCTGGGACTGTTCTCCACACACGCCCTCCCCTCCCCCCCCACGCTCTCTGTCCCTTCTGTACTGACCCCATATTCTGTTTCACGATCAGGGAGTGGCCAGCCCACCCCTCACCCTGGTCCTTGAGCTCACTCACAGGTCTAGCCTCCGCTTGCTGGGGACACCATCCTGCACCGGGAAGGCCCTCAAGAGATGTTTGCTGGATTAAATAAAACCACTGAATTTGCTGTTGTGAGACTTTATTCCCATGAGAGTGCAGTCCTGATTTTTCTTTAGTGAAAGTCAGTGCTGCCACAATAGGATTTTCCGGGCTGAAACTGGCTTTTATTTGATTTTTCTGGAATACACCAGTTCCATAAGGTAAGAGATTCTGACATATCTTTGGGGGCCCATAACTTTATCCTTTCATGGCTTCCGTTTACCCATTTGGAAAATAAGAACTATACACAGTATCATAGTTAATTAGTTCATTTTGATGAAGTCCTTTATGATTCTCCCAAGTAGGTAATATAAAAGAGTACGAAGACAACTGTGTTATTATTCAATAATGTAGAAATAATTACGGGGGGGGCGGTGGAACAGAAGAGGTTGTTGGCATCTCAGGAGATTTCTCCAGATGCTTCTAACATAAGGGTCTTAAAATATTTGTAGACAAAAATGTGTTTTTCCTTTGATCATAGTGTTTGCTCAGACCATCTCTTTAGTTCCTAGCACCAGGGAAAATTATCTACCCTGTATAAAAGTGATAGTGTTTTCAAGGGAGGGCACTGTGGGCATATTGACTTTAGAAATGGGTCTGTGATAAAAATCAACACTTCAGGGGAATTCCCTGTAGGTCCAGTGGTTAAGATTCTGTGCTCTCACTGCTGAGGGCCTGGGTTCCATCCCTGATCCGGGAACTAAGATCCTGCAATCCACGTGGTGCAGCCAAAAAAAAAAAAAAAAAGAGCAACACTTGACATCTTTTTCTCTTTTTTTTCCTTTCATGATATTAATAAGTGAGGCATTCTGCTTATTTCCATCAGAGTTTTCCATCTTTGCACCATCATTCCTCTCCATAGTACTGAGAACTACAAATGCTGTGTGTGTGTGTGTGTGACAGAGACAGAGAGAGATCTTCATTAAAAAAAAAAAAAAAAGATACATGCAGAACTGAACTGTGGTTTAAGTGCACTGGTTATGTTTCCTTTTTCTGGCTTTCACTGACAGCACTTGAAAGTGACCAAATGCAAAAAAACAAAGCTGTTGGTCTGAAAGTAACTAGTTCCCTCCAGTGTCCTTTAATGAACATGTGGAAATCAACCGGGAGTGAGTGATTTTCCCTTGAGCTTCGGGCAAGAAAGCAGGCCTGTGATTCCCACTGCTGTTCTGACGTCTGCGCAGACTCATTTCATAACTTTTCGGCAGGAGGATGCTCTCCCCAAACATTCTCAGCACTGCTGAACGAGACAGTGAGTCTGACAGCATTTGGTGCAGCTACAAGGCTTCCTATTTCTAATTACGGAAGAGACACAAGTCCAATTCTGTGCACACTGGAGGTTTACTAAAGGGAAGATGTTCTAACTGCTTCCAGTAACAACCTGTTATTTGCAGAGGCCCATAGTTAATCTTTAAGACTTTCAATTAACTTTTATTACATAACCAAGTTTTGTTACATAGCCATACAGATAAACAAAACAGAATTTTAAAATCACACAGCATCCCATTATCTGAGAAAAAGGCTATAAACACTTTGGTTTAAAGTTTTTCCAGACTTCACAAATAATCATCGTAGTAGTGATGCTCGCCTGTGCCCGGCACTGTCCTAAGCACTCTGCCATACTCCTCAGTCCCCGGCCCCAGTCCTAGACGGCAGGCACTATGGTTCTCACCACTTTGCAGATCAGCAAACTGAGACACAGGAAGCAGGAGACCTCCCAAAGTAACACAGGCAATGCAATTCCTTACTATGATTCTTTGGCTCTCTTTTGGACTCAGTTGTTGACTTTTATCCTGTTTTTTGTGTGTGATTGTTACAAAAAATAGGAACACTCTACACTTTGTGGGGAGGGGAGTAACTGCTCTTTTTGCAATTGTGATAGGCAAAATTCTAACTTGGCCCCCAAGATTTCCCACGTCCTGTTTTACACCTTCTTCCAGTTCAAACACCCATCCGGGTGGTGCTGTGAAGAGAATTTGCAGAAGTGATTCAATTCCCAAATCAGTTGCCCTCCATATGCAGGGTGAGTCAAACCCAAGAGCTGTTTCTTTAAAGGGACTGGGCATTTCCTGATGTTGGAAAGATGCAAAGTATGAGAGAGGATACGATGTCAGGGAGATTCTCTATTGCTGGCTTTGGGGATAAAGCGGGGCTGCGTGACAAGGAGTACTGGCAGGTACGAGGGGCTGAGAGCAGCCCCCAACTGCCAGCTAGCATGAGATGGGCCCCCCTAACCCCCCGACCTCAAGGAACTACACTTGGCCACAAGCACAGGAGCTGGAAAGAGCTCTAGGTGAGATCTCAGCCCCATCCACACCTCACTGTCAGCTTTGTGAGACCCTGAGCTGAGAACCCAGTCAGGCATGCCCAGTCTCCCGACCTGCAGAGCTGCCAGATAATAGGTGCCTGTTGTCTGAGCCGCTAAGGCTGGGGTCATTTGTTACACAGCACAGAAAACTAATACAATGACATATCAGCAATACTTCTCAGAACCTACTTCTACAGTATCATGCGAGTAACTACATAACATTCCAGTGTATGCCAGCACTGTAATTTATTTAACCAATGCCTTCTTGTTGTGTATCTTTGCTGTTTCTAATCTTTTTGCTATTTTAAGCAACACTGCAATGAACATTTTATATCTAAGTCTCTGCGCACATTCTTAAGTTCCCAGAAATGGAACTGCACTTTCAAAGTGCAGGCAAATGTGGTTTTCATACAAGTGACTAATTGTTCTCCAGAACAGTCGTACAATGTAACTCTGCATTGGTCATTTACACGCACACTCACCTACCAAAACACAGCGAACACTGGGTATTTCTCCATTCAAGGGACAAAGCATCCCTCTTTTTGCATTTTTAATCATTGGTGAAATTTGATTTTCTTTCCTGAAGGGCATTGTATTTTTTCTTTTCTCTCTCTGTGCAGGCATATGTATGTATTGCTTGTATTAGTTGGGGCTTTTTCA